AGGCGTCCATGAGAGACGATAATCACTCAATATCAGATGGACCGCATGCTCGTCAGCCTAGAAAGGCAATAAAAAAACATCCTGGAGCCAACCCCAGGCGTACAGTGATTAGCTAACCAAACGCCCAATCATAACCCAAAATAATGCAATTCAAAATACACTCTAAAATTATAAACTCATATTTATTAATATACAGTAATTATACAAAAGTAGGGTTAATGTGCTAGCCATCTATACTTTACGAGAAGTCATAAGGTGACCTTACTGAAAATTCTACTGAAGTCGTAGTGTAGTTCACTCACTGTCCCAGTTTTGATAATAAGCTCTTTCACGTTTCTAGTGACAGGATTCACGTTGAGCGACATGAACTAATGAACTGTTATTCTGTTTTTTATTATTTAAGTACAACGGCTGGTGTTGAAGTTTTCAGTCACTTATATAGAATAACTTGTTGAAGCTTATATTCCAGAGCAGGATGATGGGAAGAAAATTAATGGAGAAAAAAATTGCTTTTAGATTCGATGTCGAAATGTCAACTACTATATCTTATATCTCTTGGAAGATAAATTCAATATAAACGACGCCTATTTTTTTTGTTTCCTACCTAATTACCAATAGCCTCCAGGGGCTATTCTAGTTTCACCGGACTAGTAGGCGAGCTCACGGGGTTCACCCTGGGAAACTTTGCTAACATATACCTTAGCAAGAGTGTTGCTTCGCTAAAACTACCACTGAATCGGAATCGCGACTAACTGAGAAGATCTGGCGAGAAATTCAGTGGGCTGTCTCTGAGCTCCGGGTTGAGACAAACAGATAAACAGTAGGTAATGCCATCAATCATCTTGAAACATGAGCTCCAAATCCCTTGATGCTCCCTTTATTGTTATAATAGAGCGGCCACGCCCTTCAAACTTCAACCGATTTTAAAAAGAAAAACAGGGCTGTGTAACCTAGATCTGTGGGCTCATTGTAATTCCTAGCACCGTGTCATTGCTATTCGCGATACCTATTCAAATAAGCTCTGTCTTACAGCATGAAATTCAATCAAATATTTAAGTTCGCTCACTGAATTCGTTCATTTGAGCCCTTCACTACGACACGGCCGTATTCCGGGCGCGCGGCCTTGTTTACCATGCCATATTTGCTCCTCCACTTTTGTAGTCGGTAGAAAGGAATCGTCGCAACGGAACCCGGAGCCGCAGTTTCCAGAGACCGCTTTGAAATATTCAGTAAAGCCGTGCCGAGTTTCGTTTTAAACAGATCATAAATGATAAAGTTTTTGTTGAGTTCTCTACTCTACATATGTTTATAAGCAATACTGTAACGTTGGTGCTTGACAGAGGATTTTTAATCGCATACTCAAAACAAATTTTATATGTAACAACCCTACCTGATTGAGCAATCTAATTGGGAGTTTTGTCCTTTTCGTACCCCGCGATTAAAAGAGGACCGTAAATTAGTTACTGTTTAATGACGGCTCTGACGCTATTCAAATAATTACTCTTATAGAAACAGCTAAGATAGTGGAACAAGTGGTGGCTGAGATAAATCACATATCAAGAAGCGTACTAAATAATGTTTTTTTTTTTATTACTTAGATGGGTGGACGAGCTCACAACCCACCTGGTTTTAAGTGGTTGCTGGAGCCCATAGACATCTACAACGTAAATGCGCCACCCACCTTGAGATATAAGTTCTAAAGTCTCAGTATAGTAACAACGGCTGCCCCATCCTTCAGACCGTAACGCATTACTGCTTCACGGTAGAAATAGGCAGGGCGGTGGTAACTATCCGCGCGGACTCACAACAGGTCCTACCACCAGTAATTACGCAAATTATAATTTTGCCGGTTTCACTTTTATTACACGATGTTGTTCCTTCACCGTGGAAGTGAATCGTGAACATTTGTCGAGTACGTATTTCATTAGAAAAATTGGTACCCGTCTGCGGGATTCGAACACCGTTGCATCGCTTCAATACGAATGCACCGGACATCTTATCCTTTAGGCCACGACGACTTCAATATAACATCTATGAGATTCTTAGAATAAATATTTTGGATTGTAATTGGATCTAATGTACAGTGGAGTGCAAAAATGAATGGATAGAACGTTCGCATAAACATATAAATAACGCCATCTGTAAATAATAAAGTATAACTAATTAGAGTATGCATGAATTTTTATTTTTATTATGCTGTATTATAATACATATTTAGATGAGCAATATTTTGCTGCTTTAAATGAGATCACTAGTTAGATTGAAATGGTGGTTAGGTAAAAACAGAACTAGATTTACATATTGTATAGAATATGTATGTACCGAATGAAACTACCAACGCCATCTAGTTTATTTTTATTGATTTCAATTCAAATCTTGAGAGGGACAAAAAACTTAGGATGTTCATACAATACTGCGGCCAACCAGGGCCCTGAAACTGCGATACTTTAAGACAAATATTTTTTTTGTATGGAAACTGTCGACATCTTGTTGCGACTACCCTCAACTTATATGTTGTTAAAGTTAAGGCATTTAATTATTGTATAACTAAAGACATAAAATAAAAAACTAATAAATTATACAAGTCTTTATTTGTTGTAGACAAATTGATAAAATTATATCAATTTGTGATTTCTGAAAATGTACAAAATCCTTCAAAATAACATATAGAATAGGTAATATGTTACTGCCATCTATAGGGACAATGAGAAACTAATCGAAGCGAAGCTATCTAGGGGCCGACGCCCGTAAACCTTTTTGTTCGATGCTTGAGTTAACAATAGTGAGTTAACAAAAGTATAACAAATGTATGTGTATTATCTATGATACATACCAACCAGCATATGATCTTTTTTATTACACAACAGTAGAACCAATTTGCATTATTCCGGAGCTAAGTGTGAGTAAGTGGTTAAGGGAACACTTTAAAATCACATTGTCACTACTCAGACACGAGATTTTTTGTGATATATGCGAGTCCGAATGCAAATATTTGTGTTCCCAGTTCAGCAGCTTTCTTAGAACCCGTAGGATGCTTTCAAGCAGTCCACAAACAGTAAATAGGTATAGTAATATAAAAAATGAAGTTTTTTTTTTATTGCCCTTGTAGGCAGACGAGCATACGACCCACCTGATGGTGAGTGGTTACCGTTGCCCATGGACTTCAGCAATGCCAGGGGCAGAGCCAAGCCGCTGCCTACCGCTTAATACTCTCCACAAGCCTCGTTTGAAGAAAGACATGTCAAAGCGCCCGGGAAACACCGTGGAGGGGATCTCATTCCATAGCCGGATGGTACGTGGCACAAAAGACCTCTGGAAACGCACTGTGGATGACCGCAGTGGCTCCAGGTAGTTATGGATGAACTCTATTCCGGTGGCGGGCGATGCGATGGTAAAAACGAGATGCCGGTATCATCTCGAATAATTCCTCAGAGTACTTATAAAGACACATAAAAAAAACCATAGCACAGTGACAATAACTGCCGTACCACGGAGGCCAGGGTCGTTGCTCAATGACAGGTTGGTTCAGGACAGGGCGTCTTGGGGATGACATCGCGAGCTCCAACCCTAACCCGGGGTTCTAACCCCAGACGAAAACCGGACGTCGGGTGACAGATTACAGGAGGCGTCATATGGCACCTAGAGCTCTAAAGCACCTTTGGGTCCGTGATCCGCTCCCAACATCTGCGAGCCGTTAAGACCCACATACATCACGTGCCTCGTACACGTAGAAATCTGATGCGTGAGGCTGGGCCACTGACCCAAAAAAAAAAACGCCCCAAAAGGTATAGAAAGATTTGTTAATCACTACCTACGAAATTGGTGTTTAGTATACTAAAAGTTACGGTATGTTTTTATAAAAGAAAACTTTTTTCTATCAATCTTAATGTAATGCATGTAGCCATGGTATCAATGCATCTCTACCAGTGCAGTGATAATTTTTAAATGGCATTCTTGAAGAAATCAGGGGTATGGCAGCCAACGAACTCTTCGAGCGCAGTTTGTATTGCCCCTCTCAGGTATAATTTTTTTCCTATCAAGAACTTGTTCAAATTTTGAAAAAAGTAAAATTCTTTCCGCACCATTTTTGATGAATACGATGGATGATGCAAAACTTCAAACGTAGCTCTTGTAGTTTAGAGGTCGTCTACTATGCCGTATGAGGTGAAGTGTTCTCGTGTCGAAGCACCGGAGATAAGTGATTAACCAAGGTTAGCTAAAGATACGCTAGCATCTGCATCATTGTCTGTCAAGTTTTTTTTTAACTGGTGGTAGTACCTCTTGTGAGCCGGCGCGGGTAGGTGCCACCACCCTGCCTATTTCTGCCGTGCAGCAGTAATGCGTGTCGGTTTGAAGAGTAGGGCAGCCGTTGTAACTATACTCGAGACCTCAGTACCTTATATTCATCAAGATGGGTGGCGCTTTTACGTTGTAGATGTCTATGGGCTTAAATAACCACTTAACATCAGGTGGGCTGTGAGCTCATCCACCCAGCTAAGCAATAAAAAAAAAAACCTAGGCCATGAAACTATCAAGCGAATATGGTGTAACATTGCAAGGCTTGTCATACGTATACTTCGGTTAGTCAGGTCCTTGTTTTCCTTCTATGTTTTTTGTACTTATTTCTTCATTGGCGTAAACATCGTTACATGTACAACTAAAAAGGATTAATTGAAATAAAACATCACCAATTGGAAGTATAAGATATAATAAAATTTATATAGTTATGGCATAAACTTTTTCAGTATGTTTACAACTAGCAGTGTCCGAAATATTATTATATTAATGAACGTGAGCATAATATTATATTATTAAATGTTTTCGTAAAATATTCATTATCATTAATTAATTTCTAATTGAATTAATAACAAATATAAAGATTCAGTTTACTGTAGAAGATATTTCCCAATTCTTCCCCATTTATTGGAATATATCTTCAACAAGAAAAAAAAAAAAACAGATAATATGAAGATGCCGAAGTCGAATATTGCGTCTTTTTCTTTGTGCGTTTCGCAAATACATCGTCGAAGAAGCGACTTAGTGCATAATTATTAACTTACAGTATCAAAAAATGTGTAAACTTCCCCATTTTACACATTAAATTTTTTAATAAGAAACATCTAATAGTAGACGAGCTCCATAGCGACGTTTGCTAATAGCTCCTCTCTCGTATTGAAACGCTCAAAATAAGCTTTTTGCTCTTAAAATTAAAGCTAAATTCAGAAAGTCTTATATTAGAAAGCGGCGTAGAACCCATTCTCCGCATTACATAAAAATCTCCGTTTTTTTTTTTTTTCGAACCCAGGGAGATGGTCCCTAATATTTTATCATAGATCTAACATAGCTTAGTATTCGCTATAAATATTTCTAAGGCAGGAAATCACAAAATCTAGCATTCGTTTAATTTAGATATAGAATGAAATCTAATTTGTAGCTTAGACTTAATCATTAATAATCGACCATTTGAAAAACTAATGAACTACAAAAAAAATGCCGAAAAGCTCTCCTTCTAATGCTAAAAAGCTAAACTTATCAACCTAGTCTTTATACTATTTTTTTTTAATAGTGCTTCGTATTCTAAGAGTGACATATAATAATATAGAACTGTGAATCGTGAATAAATAAGTTCTATCTTTAGTAAACTAATTTTCATATTTCGTGTAGGTAATCTGAACGTTTTCATTAATATTAGAGGCACTTTTTATAGTGGCAATATAATTCAATAACATACGGTGCATAAGTTTATATTCACTACAAAGACAAATTCAAGCCTTAATTTAATACAAAACATTGAACGATATTAATGTAATAAATAAAAAGAATGTTGGACTGAAATACTGTGATAGTTATTTGGATGTCGTTTCTATGTTGTTCTATCTTCTATGGTTTAAGTTTCATCTTCATAGCAACGTTTACGTATCTGGAGCTCGTATTTGGACTGTAACCGAGGCCGGTCCAGGAGTCGTTGGAGACCTCAGAGTTGCTGAACGCAATGACGTGGCTGAATGCCCGCTACTTGCTCTTGAACCACGATGAGAGCCTGTCAAAATAATTGATATTAGCACAGTTTTTTTTTCTTCCTATGCTGATAGCCTTGAGAGGCTATTTCAGCTTCACCCTAACGTGTTGGTGAGGTCACAAGGCTCGAACCAGAGTATTGCTAACACTGGCCCTAGCAAGAGCAGTGCTTCACAGAATCTACCGCCGGATCGGAAACGTGACCCACTGAGAAGATACAGCGAGAAACTCAGTGGACTGTGTCTGTGGGTTAATTCGCTCGTCGAGCCCTTCGTCACAAGCGACAGGCTTGACGAGGACGGTGACCGGTGCTTGTGGTGTATCACAGAATAATCATATTCAAAGAAACAAACATGCGATCTCAACCTTACGTGCAAATCACAATCAAAATATTTGATCAGTTTTTTTTATTGCCCTTGTAGGAAGGCCATGCAGTCCACCTGATGGTGAGTGGTTACCGTCGCCCATGGACGTCAGCAATGCCAGGGGCAGAGCCAAGCCGCTGCCTAAAGATTTTATAAAGCTTTGCTATGAAACCAATTAGTTCTGCGATATTGAGACTTTGATTTCACATTTCAAGCGACCATACAGTATTTACCTGCTATTCATAATCCCTGTGAATGGCGATATTTATCGTCGCAACACACGACAATTTAAAGCCCATTATTGAATAATAGTCTATAATTGAAAATAGTTTTTATTCTATTTTCTTTAAGGCATGCATTGCTAGTAAATTTCTATGAGCTTTATGTCATTTTTCTTCTAACGGTGTTTGTCATCGTCCCGTAGAAGTTTAAAGGCGTAACGTATCATGCCGTATGTCATTCAAAGCATAAGGCAGTACTTTGTATTCGAAATAGCTGCCTCGTATGACTCAGTCTTGTTATGCGTCATCTACAACAAACTTTTAATTGCGAACCATTTTGAGGTACTAATTGCAATTAAAGTGTTTTTTTTTTTATAAAATCTTATAATAGCTGTAATTTGTTTGTATGAATCGAGAATAAGTTTTATTTAGGATCTTATTTAGGAATACCAATCTTATTTAGGATCTTATTTAAGAATTTTTATTTAGGAATATCAAATGTGACGCGCGTAATAAAAAAATAGTGCGTGCGTACAAAGTACACATGTCAGAAGTGAAACTTTTTTGGCGAACTAATTTATAAGTCTTGCATAAATTTATACAAATCTAAAACTTTAGATTTCCGAGACTTAGAGGAAGAAAAAAAGGAAAATATGTTCCCGCCAAAAGTCTGTCAAATGTCAATCTCAAACCTCAGTGTTGACAGTCACATTATGTTTACATTTCTAAATTGTAAATGACTAATATTTTGCCAATTGAATTGACTAATTTAATTTCATGCTATTTGATTAATGTTTCAAATTCTTTTCATTTCATTTCAATTCCTACTAACATTTTTCACAAAAAAAAATTAAAATATTAGGCCGTATGGTATGATACATTTGCCTTTCCAGTTAGAAAAATACAACAACTACTACTACTACTGACATTTGACAAGTACTTAATTTCAATAGTAGTTTGATGTCACTTTCGTTGCATACCTGCGTGACGTTCTGTAAAAAATTTACCCCCATGCGCCTAAAGAAGTTTCACTTCAAAAATTTGTTCAAAACTTTTGTGTACCTAATACATTATTTCTTGGCTCGAAAAACTTATTTATTACAGTTAACCTGGGCGCATAAAGAATTGCTCTTAGTACCTTTCACGGTAAAGATATGTTTTTTTTTATATATTACAATTATATACATTACAATCGCTAGTATTTAACGGGTTCTTACTGCAGTTATTGTTTCAACGAATTTCCCATCTGACGCTATTGTAAGCACCCTGATCACGGATAAACAAACACACAATGTTTTAACTACAAAAACATATCGTAAGGATATCCATATCATGAGATACACTTATTTTTAAAACACAAAACTTAACATACATCTAAGAAGTGGCGCAGTCTTCTCTGAAGTCACTAGTACCTGTACAAATCATAATCAAGACGAATAATAATAAAGTCTATTGAATGTGTCAAAACGTACCCACACTTTTCAGTTCTAAAATAAGTAGGTACTTCTAAATAGCTTCAAATGTGTATAAACGCAATCAGTTTCAAGCAAACGTGGTCTAAGTCTAGTTTTCCACAAAATATCAGATTAAATTTTACTGCAATCATTTAAGTTATGAATTGTTATTCTGTAAGATTAAAGCACTTTCGTAGTCGCTGTCACAACTAATAACTTACGTTAAGAATTGTTATTCTGTATGATTAGAACACTTTTGTAGTCGCTGTCACAAACATTGTCTCTAACCAATAACTTAGGTGAAGAATTGTTATTCTGTAAGATTAGAGCACCTTCGTAGTGGCTGTCATAACTAATAACTTAGGTTAAGAATTGTTATTCTGTATGATTAGAACACTTTTGTAGTCGCTGTCACAAACATTGTCTCTAACCAATAACTTAGGTGAAGAATTGTTATTCTGTAAGATTAGAGCACTTTCGTAGTCGCTGTCACAACTAATAACTTACGTTAAGAATGGTTATTCTGTATGATTAGAACACTTTTGTAGTCGCTGTCACAAACATTGTCTCTAACCAATAACTTAGGTGAAGAATTGTTATTCTGTAAGATTAGAGCACTTTCGTAGTCGCTGTCACAAACATTGTCTCTAACCAATAACTTAGGTGAAGAATTGTTATTCTGTAAGATTAGAGCAACTTTTTAGTAACAATTATGGTCTCAGTAACGTACCAGTTCCGACGCGCATGCAAAGCTATAGATAATTTAAAAATATATTTGTAACGACATTCGGTGTAAACCTGAGGATTTTCGGTGTGACTGATGACTTTGGTGAGGTCGTGCTGTTGATGAAATTATGAAGGTTAATTTAGTTTTAAAAACATTATTAAATTCAAAAGGAGATAAGACAACATCGACATTAAAAGTGCACAATGTGCCGAGATTCAAAGACTTTTGGGAAGACAATTCCGAAGTTCACTTAGACCCAAAAAAATTTTTACGAAGTGCCGGTTTTAATACAATTTACTGTTACTGGTATAATCTACATTAAAATTAGTAAGAAATTATAATTTGTTTGGATGAGTTTTCATCAGCCAATATCGATAAACAACTTTATTTATTTCATTTGGCCAAGTCATTCGCTGCAATGTTTGCATTTTCGTCGACAATATGTTATTTCTTGAACTACTGAACTGGGCTGTAATATTATGGTCAAAATCCTTCACAGTTTTACTGTTGTTATCTGCGTCTATTAAATTTTTAAAAGCCTTTTAGTTAATATCGTTTTTAATAGATCTGAGCTCTACAACTCAATATAATTTGTAAATTAAAGAAATTTTGATATGCAACTCCCGTACCATTCCAGTTTGCTTATGGATAATAATTTATAGTACTCAGTTTCTTAATAAGGCATCTAATTTTGAAAAAATCTCTTCTTTAAGGATTCTATTGTTATATATCATGAATTACAGGTAATTTAGTAGTAACCCATCTCACAACAAACAAGTCCCTATGAATTATTAAATTTAAATGACTAATGTCATTACGACTTTTTTAAATTCAACATAATTAATTATACTTTGATTTTCGCTACTTTTTCTGTTTAAGCTCGCGTTGCGTTAAAGTTAAAGTAGTGTGGATTATAAAACATCGGATTTGCCTTCCGACAAGCACTTAAACACTTTCACATAAAGCATAGAATAGAAAGAAGATTTGTTCACTATACTTTTGCCTGTGTACCTGGACTCGGCGAGTGGGGTCTTAACTCCTGCTGGCTCGCCTGTCGAGAAGGTGGGCGCATGCTCACTCTAGAACCACGACGGTCCTGGAAAAGGTTGATAGCTATCAAAACTCGCTCTGGCTTTTTACATATTTAATTGAGGCCTATAAACAAGAGAGGCGCTATCATTTCGTGAATACCCACCATGAGTCATGAGGGCAAAGCATCAAGATTTTGTATTTTTTTCGGTTTCCATGAGTCATAGACACTAAGTTTTTGGTCGTCGGAAGCAATGTACTAATAATGATTAGCAATATTAAAACGTAAGTTAATTTTAATCATATTAACGACTAGCCGTACTCGCCCGCTTCGCTTGGCATCTAAAATTAACATTATTATTTATTGTCATTATTATTAGGTAGTCCAACACTCATATAAATATTAGCCTATAAATTAAGTACATGTATTTTCTACATGGATACCAAGTTTCAAGTCGATCGGGTGCATGATTCAGTAGTTATAAGGGAACATCCGTAAAAACCACTGTAGATTTATATATTAGTATAGATTTATATCAGTCGCTTTGGACAAACAAGTTAAGGTATTTGTTATGTGGTTACTAAATTCGATTTAAAATGCTGATTTAAAACTTGCAACAAGAGCTATGTCAGTATGAGATATCTTTCTTGAACTTTATCATACTAAAAAGATGGAACCAGATAAAGTCTCAAACATTGTTAGGAAATATAAATTTTAATGCAAACCTGAGAGTGCAACAGCTTAGATTCTCTGAGCAAAGAAACATTCATCAGACGCGGATTTGGAGTGTTGAAGATCGTCCTGTTTTCACGCCATCTTGCCCTGAAATTATTTGTCAAGTATAAGTCTTCGCTTTTCATTTCGCGATAAACAGAAGCAGTATTATTTGGTATAGTGAACTGTCTATCTGGTTGGTTATTATAGCTTCAGTGCGCACATTTTATGAAAGCATCAGCAAGTACCTACTTAATATTCCAAAAAATAATATTGAAGATCAAGGCAGGCATTTTTTTATAAAAACGTCCCTTCTGTGCGCAAATAAACATACTAATATAAAAGAAAAATTAATATATTAAAAAATAATAATCTTTGGTCGCCTAATTGGCTTAGTGTCTTTCGTAACGCGGGGTACTGTATCGTGATTATATTTCTAATCAAAAACAGTATTTTTGTTGAAGGTACTTTAGCTGTGCCACTTGTTGCAATTTCCTCCTGCTTGTATTTCTAATGAGAAACAACACTTTTGTTGAAGATACTTTGTACTTTAGGTGTGCTATATTTTATTACAATGGCCGTCTAAATGTAACTAACATATTTACAGTATCGTACTATGCTCTGTCATTTACTAGTGGTAGGTCGTATTATAAGCCCGCCCAGGTAGGTACCGCCCTGAAACCTATAAATGCCGTGAAGCAGTCATGGATTCCGGCTTAAAGGTTGAGAGACCCGTCCTACAATACAACTGGAATTTCGACCTCATGTTTATTTTCATTGCTTAGGTGGGTGGACGAGGTCACGGCGCACCCGGTGTGAATGGTGAATGGAGCACATAGACATCTACGACGTAAATGCCGCCACCCACATTGAGACATGAGTTCTTAGGTCTCAGTATAATTACAACGGCTGCCCCGCATTTCAAACCGCAACCCATTAACTGCTTCACGGCAGAAACAGGCAGGACTCACAAGAGATCCTACCACCAGTAATTAAGCAAATTATAATTTTACGGATTTGATTTTTATTACACGATGTTATTCCTTCACAGTGTAAGTCAATTCGTGAACATCTGTTAAGTACGTATTTGATTATAAAAATTGGTACCCGCCTACGGGATTCGAACACCGGTGCATCGCTAGATACGATTGCACCGGATGTCTGATCCTTTAGGCTACGACGACTTTTCAGAGATGTCTGGTTTATGATGGACTCCAGTATCTATTTTTGTATTTTTTTTATTGCTTAGATGGGTGGACGATCTCACAGCCCACCTGGTGCTATGTGGTTGCTGGAGCCCATAGACATCAACAACGTAAATGCGCCACCCACCTTGAGATATAAGTTCTAAGGTCTCAAGTATAGCTACAGCGGCTGCCCCACCCTTCAAACCGAAACGCATTACTGCTTCACGGCAGAAATAGGCAGGGTGGTGCTACCTACCAGTGTGGACTCACAAGAGGTCCTACCACCAGTAAATTTAACACCAGATACGCCATAAATTCATTCATCAGTCTACGCAATGTATATTTAATCATCGTTATCATCAAACGTAAGTATGTACCTGCTGAAAAGCCGAAGAACAACGCAAATGATGACGAACATCAGCGCCATGCCGACGAGGACTCCAATCATCGCGGGATCAACGGTCCTGGTAGACTCATCGACTGGTTTTACGGCTGGTTTATAAACAATAATTACGAATCAAACACGATTTAGTAAAAATGTGTGAAATCTTATTGAGGAAAGAACCATCCCTATAAATCGCATAGTAATGTTCTAATAATTAACTAAAGTATCACAGTAATAAAGCAAATAAATACATATGAACATAACACCATAATTTTCAAGTCGCATTCACAGATTCTTTTACATGGCGCTAAGTGAGAATTCTTCAAATACTCCAACTATTATAATTAGAAATAGGCCAAAAGAATTCTAGAAGAGTGGTCTCGGATTGAACGTGGACAGACAGAAACGTGGCTAACTAATGACATGGACGGATGATCCGATGAGAGCTTTATACAAGATCAAATTGCGTATAAGCCTTAGACCGTAAGAGATCGGGAAACGATTATATCAAACTTAATACATTGACATAGGCTGGTGTACGTAATCTTATATATAAAATTCTCGTGTCACAATGTTAGTTACCATACTCCTCTGCGACGGTTTGACCGATTTTTATGAAATTTTATTTGCATGTTAAGTAGGTCTGAGAATCGGCTACTATCTATTTTTCATACCCCTAAGTGATAAGAGTTGTCCACCCCTAACATTTATTTTTATTTTTGGACATTTTTTTTTGTTATAATGAGGCATTACCTAGGTATGTGGTTGAATGAGGTTTTGTTCTTTTTATACTCCCTAATCATTCACAGCGCTACGTGCCTCTTTCACTCATTTACCACATCCTTACACACTTACAATAAGTTACTTTTTTTTCTACACTAGAAATTCCCTAGAAATCTTATATATGTCAAAACAACGTTTGCCGGGTCAGCTAGTTAAGATATAAATTTAAATCGCGTTAACTTAAAGTACAACACAATATGCAGTAGAATATATGTGAGGCTGTCAGAGCAAAAGTGGCCTAACTCACGAATTTTTCATATTTGTCCTTATGTTGCAATTTATTTAAAACATAATAAATTTTGATGCAAATCCGAACATTCCCTAGTTTCACCCATAAATAATAGACGGCTTTGTAAAGATTGTTTTTGCGTGTATTCTGTATGCTTACGAAGCAGTTTATAAGTAAATTGAAACTATAGTAAGCTTGGGTCACTTTTGATTTAACAAAGTAACTTCGTTACTGGTAGTAGGACGTCTTGTGAGCCCACACAGGTAGGTACCACCACCTGTCTATTTCTGCCGTGAAGCAGTAATGCGTTTCGGTTCGAAGGGCGGGGCAGCCGTTGTACTGTCAAAAGTGAGACCTTAGAACTCATGTCTCAAGGTGGATGGCGGCATTTATGTTGTAGATGTCTATGGGTTCCGGTAACCACCACACACACCACATCTAGCAATACCAAAAATGTAGGTGTGAAATAAAACTTTACATTAAAAACTATAAAATAATAATAATTAATAATATTTAATAATAATATTAAAATAATAATAATTTAATAACTAAAATCTATTATTAAAGGGACTCCCCTTTAGGCAAGGTTCCGAAGATACTGGCAGCGTTCCCCCTTTGAATAGCTAAACTAATTCTTTGTCCAATGTAGCTGCCAGTGCTTCGGTCTCCTGTGATGTGGGGTAATTTTTTTTTATTGCCCCTGTAGGCAGACGAGCATACGGCCCACCTGATCGTGAGTGGTTACCGTCGCCCATGGACTTCAGCAATGCCAGGGGCAGAGCCAAGCCGCTGCCTACCGCTTAAGCTTTGCTATGATTTTTTTTTTTGTTTTTAGTTTTAGGTTCATTGTTAGTGTTGATTGCATTTGATATTACAAACTATACACTTACGAGTACATATAACAGCTCCGTCGACGGTGACCAGCGGTACCATCTCGAACTTGCAAGCGCAACGTTCATTCTTGCACTCGGTCTTGAAGTCAACGTCTTCGCACTGCTCATTAAACAAGCAGGATTCATTGATGCTTGCCGCTGAAATATTACAATGCAATTTAAATCAAAATGTATTTTTTATTCATTGCTTAGATGGGTGGACGAGCTCACAGCCCACCCTGGTGTCAAGTGGTTACTGGAGCCCATGGACATCAACAACGTAAATGCGCCACCCACCTTGAGATATAAATTCTAAGGTCTCAAGTATAGCTACAGCGGCTGTCTCACCCTTCAAACCGAAATGCATTATTACTTCACGGCAGAAATAGGCAAGGCGGTGGTACCTACCCGCGCGGACTCACAAGAGGTCCTCCCACCAGTAAAATTTTTTTACCTATATAATATACTTATAGAGAGGCGATGTTTGCTTTGTCTGTGTATGAATTATTAAGTAAAATGTGTTTATAAATTTGAATAAAATTTCAATTTCAATTCCTACCGCATTAACGTGGGTATCTTTAAGCCTAAAGTATTCAGTAGAAAATGGGTAATTTTCTCGTAATAACTATTATGATACTAGATAGATGGATATGCCCTTGGTGCCTAATTTAGACGTGAAGAAATTCATCAGTACTCCATCTGTGACAATGCTTAAGCTGGTACTAATAACACTGCGATCCTAAGTGACAAGGTGATGGATTCACATTGTGATTAGCGGTATCCAATACCAGCTGCAATATGAACTCGTGGAGAATATCAGATCAGAGAAGATTACATTTTACATAACAAAGCCAACATCTAGATTAATACCGTGGACTTATTTGTAAAAAGTGACTCAATATTACTATCGTTGACCATTTGATTTTCTTTTGTGCCCACCGAAGAAAGGATATCTTGAATTTTTTGTAATACCAAGTGACTTTTTAACGTTTCGGAATATTATTCAGTTTAAAATGTGTTCTAAATTTCTCCGCTCAAAATCAATTGTGATAGCCTCCCTCATGGTTGGTCCCCAAGAACAAATACAACATTATTGCATTATAATAATCTTGGCACGCGATTACCTAGCTCCCCTTATTTTGTTTGGTTAATTAAAAAATACTGGTTGTCTATAAAGTCGGCTTATGGACGATTTTACAAGATAACGTCAGTAGCAGAACTGTTCGAACTGCTAGCTCTGACGTCACGCGAGAAGAGAGATAAATGTGTCACAAGCCAATGCTGGGGCCTCTCTATCGCTTGTTCCGCGCTCTCGCTCGCACGCTTGGGCTCAGGCGGAACCTTTCCGTGCGTGCAGCCAGTGTTCATCTAATATATAAAATTCTCGTGTCACAATGTTCGTTCCCATACTCCTCCGAAACCGCTTGACCGATTCTCATGAAAATTTTTATGCATATTCAGTAAGCCTGAGAATCGGCTACTATCTATTTTTCATATCCCTAAGAGATTAGGGTTGTCCACCCCTAACATATTTTTTTTTATTTGGACTTTTTTTTTTGTTATAATGAGGTATTATGTGGTTGAATGAGGTTTTGTTATTTTTATTATATATTCCCTCATCGTTCACAGCACTACATACCTCTTTCACTCATTTACCACATCCTTACATACTTACAATAAGTTAGTTTTTTTTCTACACTAGAAATTCCCTAGAAATCTTATATAAGGCAAAACAATGTTTGCCGGGTCAGCTAGTAGATATATAAGACTTTAACCACGCAAATGCTTTGAAATGCAAAATTATTTGGTTAAATGCCATTGCGTTTTTGAGATCAAGATGTTGAATCGCCGGATCGTCACTCCAGATATTGGAACTTTGTGGTAGGTGGAGCTTTGAGCGGATTCCTTCCTAAATTTAATTAAAAAATGGCTATCCAATTATTTAAAAGGAACATATTATGATGGCTCATTCTAAAAACAGAAAACACAGTGAAAATAACATGCACCCATTGGAATAGGCATCCATAGTAGTATTTTGTGACTAACTCGTTCCATAGCATGCCACAAAGGCATATTGAGTTAAATAATTCGAATTAGAACGCCCAAACTACTTACTATAAACTCGTTCGAAGTTATATTGCTAATCATCAAACGCTTTAATTAGGATATCGATTTGCCGGGCTAACACGACACCACATAGCTATACAAAATTCAATAATAATGTGTCTAAAATGAGATCTAAAATTTTATGAGGAGCATAATTGACTTACTTGTGAGCTCATGGTTTGGACTATAAGAGATTTTCTCGTCGACCAGAATAAGTGATAATATTAAAATTAGAATCTAAATTTTCAAAAACTATAATTATAAATGTCAAATGAATCTAAAAAAAGACGCAAATGCTAACCCAGCTTAGTCTTGTATAAAGACGACCGTAAGTCAAAGGAAGCTCGTCTTTAAAACCCGTGTCGTGAAACTTTACAAAGGAAAGCTCCGCTTTCGCTTTTATGTTCGCGAATGCTTTACATTTAAAACCTATTCAAGCTTTCAGATAGGTCATTTGAATGTAAATTGTTTTTTAAGTTTGAGCGGTGGTTAACGTTCTGTGGTTGGCGATGGCTTTTATATTGACCCAGCGGTGGTAAATGGATTCTTTGGGTCACGGGAGCTTCTGGAAATTCCATAAGCCTGAATCTAAATAGATTATACAGTTTTACTTATGTCTAAACTAAGTTTGAGTGGTAGTTAACGTTCTGTTGCTGGCGATGGCTATTATATTGATCCAACGGTGGCAAATGGATTATTTGGGTCACGGGAGCTTCTGGAAACTCCACAAGCCTGAACCTAAACAGCTTATATAATGTTAGCTATGTCTATCTTAAGATTAATTGGTACATAACTCACGTTTTCCACATTTATCGAAATGGTTGCTGATGGGCACGTCAGGGTGGCACGTGCAAACCTTCTGGCTCTCGTCGCAAACGGCATCAGGAAAGTTGCAGTCGGCCGTCAGTGAGCACCAGTCGCCGACGCGGCCAGGTTTCGATGGATCTGTCCATTATTTTAAGATTTTATTGGATTCATAGCTAAAAGAGCAAAGGGTAATTACTACTGCTATTCATTAAAGTTGGAATTTTGAGGGTACTGGTCCAATTTCATACCTATTACATTATTGTCGGTTTGGCAACTACTTTGTCGAGGCTGGTAATTAATTTTGACAATCTGTATAGTAACTGATATTCTGCCAAGGTATAAATACTTAGTGTATCTGGGTTTATGTCTAATTCTATAAGTTGTCTTGTATGTCTTATTCTATTCTATTATTTTATGTCTAATTCTAATAATATTATTTTTGTGACCCTAGATGAGAAGTGACTGAATAAAATAGTTTGGAATAATACCGTCATTTCATTTCTACCATCACATCACTCGCCACCAATATACACCATACTACTTAGAACCAGTGCATTCTCCAACAGTGCCTTTCCAGAGAGATCTTTTTTCTCAGGTACTATCCGGATTCGCAATGAACCTTCCTCCACGGTGTTTCATGAGATAGGCGGCAGCTTGGCTGTCCGCCGGTATTACTCACGTCTATTAGTGACGGTGACCACTCACCATCAAGTAGACCGAATACTCGTCTGCCTAGAATTGCAACAAAAAAGGATGGATGCAATGAAAAACGTTGCATCTGTGGTCGAATTTTTACCGATGCTCGTAAATGTCACCCATATTGAGATATTGAGTGGGTTTCTGTGTCTCAGCCAACTTCATGTGTAACCGGCTCAAACAAACGAACCACCGATAAAGTCATATTTTAATATACAGTGCGGTCGACGGTTATACAAACATTTTTTATTTTCTATTACATATTACTAGTGGTCCAACAGTAGTCGAAATTCGACTATAATTAATTTAAATTATAAGTTTTAACATTATTATGATTCTATTGTCAAATTATATAATCACAGATTTCGCCAAGACTACACTTTAGGCAAATATTAATAATGACCACCAATATTCTCAATTTGACCATAGATTATAAGCAATAAGAAAAGTTTGACAATTATCAAAATAGAATGCATGCGTGTGTGTGTCAAATACACAGTAGTTGTCTAATGTTTTCTTTATTGATTTAATGTATCTTTTATGCATTATTTAAAAAAAATATTAGCATTGTGCACTTCTTCGCTATATTCTCTATAAGTGTCGAAAATTTCATACTCCTTCGTCCGCGCTTTTTTCGTAAAAAGGGATACAAAGTTTTTGCTTCCCGTGTGAATATAAAGATTACATTATGATGCTTCTTTGAACTTCCTATAACACGAGCTTACCCCGAACGGGTCACTTCAAAAATCACATTCAACATGACATGACTTTAGAACATAAATATGGTATTCAATAAATTGATAGCGCGACGTGAGTATCATGTATTTCATATGACACGACATTTTTCATTAAATGACAAATGTTTTTTAGCCTTACACGGCTGGCCCAATCGATACATATACTACTTTATAGAGCGATGAACTTTAGCGCAATTTGTCGCAGTAACACTGCAACATAATTGCTGCACACTCTATTGGGAAAAAGCAAATACTAGTCAGGCAATTCATCGAAATAACGAAAATTACAGTTGAGTTAAAATAATATAATGCCTTTGCATTTACATTGTTACAGGAAAATAAATAATATAATAGAAAAAGTCAAAAGGAGTTGGCTCAGCTTATGCTTTTCAAAGCCACGTGTTTCAATTCAAAGCCGCTGATTTCACCCCCGTTCCCTTTTGGTGTATTGCAAGTGCACGGGCTTAAAGGTAAAAGGTAAGTGGTGACTGCTCGTGAGGCACATAGCATCTGCACCGCAATGATACTGAATAATGTCGACCGCTCTGACAAGAGTGATACGACAAACAAGAAGAAATAGATAAACCCAACCCTTTAATTTATGACTTGTAGAGAATGCCAACTTTCCACTTAATCTCCACTTTTGACCGTTTTGTTGATTTAAGAGCACGGAAACCAGAATACTGCACCAAGATTCCGTTTAGAGTTCATTATCAAAAATGAATGGGTAAAATAGAAGAATACATAGATCACATGATATTTAACAGATTCCTGAATTTGGCTAATGAAATTTTCAAGGCTAAGTTTGCATAGATACAAGTTCCGAACAACAACATGTACTTAAGCCGTCGGTCTACCGAGCAATTTCACCCGCTAGGTCGATGACTCTCTCGTTTCACAGCCCACTGAATTTCTCATCGGATCTTCTCAGTAGGTCACAATTCCGATCAGGTGGTAAATTCTGCGGAGCACTGCTCTTGCTAGGGCTATGTGTTAGCGTATTCTCCCAAGTTGAGCCTATGAGCTTACTTACACGTCCGCGCGTAGCCGGAATAGCTAGGCTACCAGCCAATAGGTATGGAAAAAAAAGATGTGTGGTGTCGTGATACACCGGATAGGAACGAAGTTCCTTATTATAAAAATATTAATTTTAAGTTCTATTCGAGGTACAAAGAAAATAAAACTGGAGGTTTCGCAACAACCCCAGGATCATTAGGTAACGTGCGAACTTATTGTGGTACACTTCAGTCACGGTTGTTTACATAAGGGTCAATGTCGTGGTCAATGAATGATGAAAAAATATGTTATTTTTTGTACGTTATTACAAAGTTAAGTCGTACACTGTATGCATTAGCAATAAAAATCTTACGTTACGGACGTTTTTTTCCCGGTTAGGGTACCCCTCCGCATCGTCCCATAAGGAATTTCGTTCCAAAACCTTGTTTATTGCATAATAATATGAAATGTTCATTTACGCTGATCAAATTTTGAACTCACCCGTAACCCCTCCATTGAGTTCGGCCGAGCCTAGCGGTGCCAGGCCGAGCGCCAGGACCACCGCGAGTGAGGCCAGCGAGGCCGCCACCCACTTGGAGCGCTCGCCCCGCATGCCGCGCTCCCTTACTCCCTGTCACATGCCAAACATATACCTGAAACACAAAAAAACACCGGTAATATGAAGAGGTTCCATTGGTATAAAACCTGCGTGAAAACTCAGGGCTAGTGTTAGCAACGGCCCCAGGTTAGAGCCTCGAGAGCTCACCTACTCACTCGGTTAGGCTGGCATAGCCTCTCAAGGCCAGGTCAGACCAGCTTAGGTATTAAAAAAAAAAGTTGGTTTAAGTGTCAACTTTTTGAGTGCCTCTGCGATTCGAAACTCGACGGAACGCTAAAGTGACACTAAAAAGAGACGAAATTATATAGGAATTATACTGTGTGGGAATGAGAGAGTACTTTGGAAATTTTTCACTTCTGCCACGTCTAAATTGCAAGGTAATTGCAAAGTTTCCATTGTAATTTTATGTGTAACGTCAGCTTTTATGATCTAGCTTATCTCTGTTGCGAAGCACGATTTGAAGGGTGGCCGTTAAAAGTAGCTTTCGCGTTGTGATCTCCATGGACTCTAGTAACCAGTTAGTGCGTGTGCTGTGAGGTCATTAATCAATCAAAATCAGAAAAAGTAAATAATGGATTATGTTTGGCATCAAAGTAGTATTAACTCCACATTAAATCGAATATTGTGTATGACAATTTTTATGTTCAGCATAGTAAAATTTTCTGTTTCACAAATAGCAACGGGTAATTGAAACCCAAAATCAGGGTATTCCTGCAAAAAACGAACTTCTATTGCGATAAAATTTGATGACAACCAACATGCTTGTATCTGGCGAGCGCAGTGCCTCATTTGCATATAGGTTACGTTGACCATAATATATTGTGTTGGATGTAGGGCATAGACACAGGCAGCGCTACTACTAACATGTTTAAAGCTCTGAAATCCTTGGCTTACTTAAAAATAAATAATATTTTAAAAAAAAAACTAAACTAAAACTTTTTGTTTTTTTAAACTAGGTATTATTTATTTTTCATTTTTTAGTTGAATTTCAATTTTTTCTATATTATTTTTTATTTTTTTATTTTTAATATTGAATTGTAATCGATCCTTCATAAGTATACCATATTTCGAGTTAATCCGACGTTTTGAAGGGGATCAAAATCATGTTCAAAGATTCCGTTACATACGTACGTCTGAAGCTAATAAAAGCGTATTAAAAAGCGTATATCGAGGGATAAAAGGTTATTAAGTTTAAGCGACAATTCGTTTAATACGCGACTTTTAACTTTGTAATTACAGATGCGTTTTATTTGGTATTGGCATCAACAGTTCGATGTTTTTAATTGAACTTCAATTAAGTTTACTCCATTCAAATATCTGAAGTAGTTTTGTTTTAAGCTATTGCATAGCTTTTATCACGGGCTTTAAGCGCGGTGACCGAATCAAGAAATTCCGTAACGAAAATAAAATCTAACACTCCCCACTCCGCCTACCATGTAGCTCCGGTTCAACACATTCACACGTTGCGCTGTAGTGTTTGTGAATAAGCGCGCGGTGTGACGTCGCACTGCATGCGCATCATGAAAAGTCTGCCCATCTCTCTCTCACGCGGTCTAGCTTATGAGTGTGAAATGGACAGTTAATGTTATGCTTTTGCTAATGTTTCTAAATAGAAGGTTTTTTTATTGTCCTTGTAGACAGACGAGCATACGTCCCACCTGATGGTGAGTGTTTACAACAAACATTAATACTTCCCGCCTGAAGTGTGGAACAACCATATTATAACACTAGTAGAGCTAAATTGTGCTCTACTGCTGGTAACTTCTGCTTAACTAATACAATAAAATAAATAACCAAAAATAATACAATAATACAAAATAATATATTCTGATAAGCGGCACAACATTATGCTCGAACAGCCTAATCCCATTATTGCAAAGTTGGGAGGAAAACAGGATTAGAATCACCAGTAATGACGCCGGAAGGCGGGGGTCTTTTCAAAATGTTTTTCGCGTAAGCGCTTTTTATTGTAAATGTTTTGAAATACTTGAGTGATTCGGATGCAAGGTTTTGGTGTTCTCTTACACTTTTAAAAGACGAATTTCGAGTATTACTCTTTCAGCGACGATTTGCTTGTATAATGATTGCATGTTTCTCTTTAATATTATCCCTACCTACTGAACCATATATTATGAGCTTCAACTTGTGTACTACAGCTACTTCAAGCACCGGTCATCGTTCTCATCGAACCCGTCGCCAGAGACGAAGGGTTCGGCGAGTAAACTATCCCACAGCCCACTGAGTTTCTCGCCAGATCTTTTTAGTGGGTCGCGTTTCCTATCCGGTTGTAGATTCTGCGAAGCACTGCTTTTGCTATAGCCTGTGTTAGCAACACCTCCGGTTTGAACACCGAGAGCTCACCTACACGCTAGGATAACGCTGACATAGCCTCTCAAGGCTATCAGCGTAGGTAGGAAAAAAAAGTCCTGCAGTTCGTTTTAGCTACTAATAAAAGCATAATATATATATTTGCATAAAAAGCGGGCATATTGATTTAGGGAGGTAGACCACATGCACAGAAATTTCGAACAGTAAAGCAAAACAACGTTGAGCTCTTTGTTGCTTTTACTAGCTTTTGTTATTTAATCTGTCATGTCATATTAAATCCCCAAAGCATAGAAATAAAGTTCTTAGCCCGTATACTGAATGTATAAATTTTTTCTAAGTCTTTTCCGAGTTTGAGTAGATTTTTTTAGTTATTGCTTAAAAGATATTGCTATTACCTATTAAGCGCATTTACTTATCTATTAAAATTTCTGAGCCTATAAACTGAGCATTTACATATAATATCAACGGGACTTCCTATTGATTGGATTTCATTCTGAAAATATCATCTACTACTTCTTATACAACAAATTCAACTCAATTTGATCCTGTAAATTTTCTGATTACCTAATTTAGCGTTGAACGATATATAATATGATGCCTTGAAGGTCGGTTTTTCGATATTCCAATTTTGCGAAACCATAAATCATTATACTTCGCATTTGTTATTAGTTTGCAGGTTTTCTTGATCACGAAGGAGGCTAATGACGGATAGATGGCGGGAGAACTAAATTATATTTTGATGGCATAATTAGAATGAAAATTTATCCAATTTTTTTGAGCAAGTAATTATGGATTTGACTTGTAAGCAACTCAATAAGTGGTAAATAGCTCGTGGCACATTCGACTAGTGACAATTGAGATGAATTTCGATAATTTGAAATAGAATCACTGCTATGCAAACCTTTAGGCTAATACGTTTGATTACTTTATAACAGAAATAAGAAAGATGGCAGCTATTGGCTCATGATTTGGCGCCATAAACATTATCATTATAGAATATTTATTTTATTACATTTTAGACTAGCTTTGCACATTTTTAGCACTAACTGAAATTTGATAAGCACAACATACTGTACTGATATCTATGTGCTCCGGAAACCACTAAAACCAGTGGGCCGTGAATTTGTTGAAATATTGAAATTAAAAAAATATAGATAATACAAGTGTTTTTTCTATATTTAATGTTTAGCATAAGACCGTAACGACGCTGCAGTTACTCAGTGCAAAAAACATTGGGTATAGATAATGTGCTTATATAAACTCAACTCTTTTTTTGTTATTGCTTAGATGGGTGGACGAGCTCATAGCCCAACTGATGTTAAGTAGCTACTGGAGCTCATAGACATCTACAACGTAAATGCGCCACCCACCACCTTGAGATATGAGTTCTAAGGTCTCAGTATAGTTACAACGGCTGCCCCACCCCTCAAACCGGAGCGCATTACTGCTTCACAGCACAAATAGGCAAGGTGGTGGTACCTACCCGTGCGGCCTCGAATTATAATTTTGCGGGTTTAATTTTTATTACTCGATGTTATTCTTTCACCGTGGAAGTCAATCGTGAATATTTGTTAAGTAGGTATATTATTTCATTAGAAAAACTGGTACACGCCTGCGGGATTCGAACACCGGTGCATCGCCATATACGAATGCACCAATCGTCTTATCGTTTAGGCCACGTCGACTTCTAACTTCTAACTTCTTGTCGCTGAGATGCTTAGTTATGTCAGCACTCAACTCATGAAACCACGGAATAGATAAATAAGGTTGGAATGGTAATGTAGGCGGGGCAAGCGTGCCACAGTTATGATAGAACAAACATAACTCGACCGATTCTTTCATTCACCGCGTTTAGTGCGCTTCGGAATACTTGGGCGAACAGATCTCCGCTTTATAGTGCCGTGTTGTGCAATTATAACTTGTAAAACAAAAAATCAGACCTCAAGTATAGAGCGAGGAGGTATATCTTTCGATCGGTAAGTCGAAATTACCATTTAATTACAATATTATTTGTCTAAAACATAAAAATATACTGAGCATTATGAAATTCCAAACATTAACAATATTATTGCAGCAAGTTATAAATAGCATACATTGCGCGATGTGTACTCGCCCAATGAACGCAATGACCAAGTCAGCTTCCAATGTACTACATGCATTGCGTTCTCTACACTTCAATCTTTGAAATTTCGGCCTTTGCCCTGATTGGCCGTGGTGCACGGCGCTAGTTTGTCGATAGTGAGGTGACCATGTGGTGAAATAAAATCATCGACAGAATTCTCGACTATATTTACATTTGACATGGATAATTTTTGCATTATTTTATATTTAATTAATGATACCTAGTATATTCTTAGTGAGACGTATTTTGAGTAAAATAAATATGTATTATTATTATTGAATTATTATCATTGAATTAAAGTGAAGGTATAATATAAAGGGACATGTAGACCTCTAATTTACGGGTATTTACTATATTGTCTAAGACGTATTAAAATCTAAGTAAAATGCTATTTGACTTATGCAGTAAATTAAAAATTTTAGGTTTCCTAAAGAACCTAACGCCAGGGAACAATGGATTGACGTGACAGGTAGAGGAAACTGGAGACAAAGACGAGTACTATTTGCTCTAAACATTTTACTGAAAATGATTTTATCATAAAAAAAATCAGAATACACTTAGTTTTGAAAAATTCATTCGCAATT